ACAGGCGGGGCTGAGGGAACTCTCCCCCCCACGAGTGCACAAAGTTTTGTGTACCGGGCCTCTAGTTGATAGTATAATAGTTGATAAAAACATATTTTGTATGTTATATTTATATTATATACTGTATTCTTACAGTGAAATAAGCTAGAGAAAAGAAAATGTTATTAGAAAAATCATTTCATAAGGAGAAATACATTTAAAGTATTTATTGGATAAAATCCATGTATTTATTGGATGAAATTCATGTTTGACCCATACAGTTCAAACACATGTTATTCAAGGATCTACTGTAATTTAATTTGTGTATTATTCTTCACCTCTTCCTCTCTCCCATCCCAGATTTTAATTTCCTGAGGACAAGGATATTTTTTTTTTTACTTTAAAGAGATTATTGAGCTGTAAATTCCACATTATATAATTCACCAATGTAATAGCACTATTCAGTAGCTTTTTATAAGTTTATATATTTGTTAAACATCAGGGAGACAAACCCAAAAAAACTCTGGCTTTAAAACCAAACAGGGCTCATGTTCCTGAGACCCAAAAAAACTGTAGCAAACTGACAAATGGCTAACTTTACCATCACAGAAGCAGCCATTTGAAAATATCCCAGATTTTATGTGAAACAGATTAATTTTCTAATCTGAAAGTGTCAGCTGGAGGAGCAAGAGCCTGCTGGAATACTCTCTGGGGGAAAAAAAAACTGGTGGGAATTATTTATGCACCATCCCTTTGCCATGCCACAAAGAGCTAGTATCTACCATACAGAAGCTTTTACATGCATCTGCTTTTTATGCCTGGCGCCCTGATTTTTGCAGCTGTTACCCAAGATATGCCCCTTAATCACATGGTTCTGGAGGCCAATGAGGCTATCATTCCTGGGTCCCTTGGAAAAATAGCTAGAGTGGTAGTTATTGGCAGACTATAGCCCCCAGGGCACTGCACAGACAGCAAACTGAAACACAACTTCAGTCTTTCTGTGAAAGAATCCTACTTGTTTGTCCTGGAGCTTTGCCCTTAGGGGCAGGCTTCTGGTTTGGCACATTTCTAGAGGCTCACAGATGTACTCTCAGGTAACATAGCCTTCTTAAAACCATGTTTGCATTATCCCTCTGCTTCTCTACAGTTTATTGGTATTTTTCAGGAAGAGCTTATATACATATCTGGAGCTCCTGTTTTGGCAACTGTCTCCTGAAAACACCTCCACATCATTGGGTTCTGATGACAGGCAGAGCATACGCTTGCAATCCCACAGACCTTTATATATTTTCATACTTTAAAAGCTGCAATCAGAGGTTCTGGCATTCAATTAACATGGATCTAGGTGCTGAATGAGATATTTCCCTTTGGGACACTGATAGGTCTTGGTACATTGTCAACTACTGTCAGCTATTAAAATAGATTAGGTTGCTTAGATAATCACAAATGTTTGCGAGACAACCTAGAGCTAGGGCAAGATTAAAAGATATGGTTCATCTCCTACATAAATCCACTTCTTCAAAACTGGGAGAGGTAGCTATTTCATCTAATATATTGAAATCAACAACAAGAGTCAAATAAAGAAATAAAAACTATGTTCTAAACAAAGTACAAACCTCAGAAAAAAGTCTTAAACAGATATAGGAAATTTAACTGATAAAGAGTTCAAAGTAATCCTCATACAGAGGCTCACCAAACTTTGGAGGAGGATAATCACAGTGAAAATATAAAAAAAGAGATAGAAAATATAAGAAAGTACCAAATATAAGTTATAGAGGTGAAGAAGACAATAATTGAGTCTTAGCCAGTGTGGCTCACTTGGTTGGAGTATCAGTCCATACATTGAAAGGTCATAGATTCAACTCCTGATCGGCGCACATACTCAGGTTGTGGCTTTGATTCCTGGTTAGTGTGCAACTGAATTATGTTTCTCTCATCTCTCTCTCTTTCTCTCTCCCTCCATCTCCCTCTCTCTAAAAATCAGTGAACATGTCTTCAGGTGAGGATTTAAAAAAAGAATATAATAACTGGACTGAAAAGTATACTATAAGTGTTCAACAGCAGACTAGATGAACCAGAAGAAAGTATAAGTAAACTCTAATACAGAGCTGTGGAACTCAACAAATAAGAACAGAAAAAGAAAAAAAAAGAATGAAAAAAATTAAAATAATTTACAGGACTTATGGCACAACATAAAGCATATTAATATTTATGTAATAGAGACCCCACAAGGAGGATAGAGAGATAAAAGCACAAAAACTTATATGAAGAAATAATGGCTGAAGGTATGCCAGGATGGCTGCAGAGTAGTTGGAAGCTACACTCACATGCTACTAGCCCAAGACTGGATTTAGAGCTAAATTATACAGCAAGCAACCTGAATACCCAACTGAAGGCTAGCTGACATGAAATGTTATAACCAAGGATTTTGAAAAGAAGCCATATAGAGACTTGGAAGAAAGGCAGCAACACTGAAAGGGCTAGCCCGTGCATCCAAGTGTGGCAGTAGAAGCTGAGAAGCCAGAGGGATATCGTGGCTGCAAAACCAACTTCCCCCAGGAACATGGGGCCTCAACTCCACACAAGGATTCTCAACCCAGAGCAACAGAAATGGGAAGAGGAGCCTGCATAGGATTTGGTGGTAAAAATCAGTGGAGATTCAGTCTGCCTGGGAGACCAAGATGCAACCTTCCCAGGGATGAACACTCCTATTGTTACAACACCAGCCTGTGGAGTGCACTACCTGGTTTTTGACTAGTAGCGAGGCCACTCTGCCATAATTGTGTACTGTGGAGTGGTCTACTAGTTGAACTCAGCAATGACTTTGGGGGCCTCTTTTCATGGGGACTTGTCAGAGACTCAAACAGTGACTAAAATGTCTATATTTGATAAAAATGGCTGTTCATCCTGACCTGGATCACACAGCCATTGCCCCTACCCCCACCTACTGACTTCAGTGGCAAAGGGGCATTACAGTGTGAAGCAGAGCTGGGACTTTTGGAGCCTGTCTCCCAGGGAAGCTTTTGTCCAGGAACAAGGCGAGAAGGTTGGGTAGTGTGGCTACATCAAGGGGGGGGTGATCCCAAAATGGTTATAAAGATGCTCAAGGACCTTAGGGAAAAAAAAATGGGTGATCTCAGTGTGAACTTAAACGAAGAGAAAGTAAGCATTAAAAAGTACACTGAAACCATAAAAAAGAACCAGTCAAAAATGCAGAATACAGTATATAAAACAAAGAATACAGTATATAAAACAAAGGAATCAACAGCAGGTTAGAAAAAGCAGATGGCTGAGTCAATGATTTAGAGGACAAGATAACAGTAAGCACCCAAGCAGAGCATCAAAAAGAAAAGAGCATTTTAAAAAATGAGGAAAATTGAAAATTTCTCTAGGATATCAAGTATAATAAAATTCACATCATAGGGATACCATAATAATAAGTGAGCAAGGGATAGAGAACCTATTTGAAGAAATAATGGCTAAAAACTTCCCTAACCCAGTGAAGAAAAAAAGTGACATAAGCTCAGGAAGCACAGAGAATCCCAATCAAGATGAATCCAAAGAGACTGACTCCAAGACACATCATAATTGAAATGGCAAAGGTTAAAGACAAAGAGAGAATCTTAAGAGTAGTAAGAACAGTTAACTACAAGTGAGTTCCCATAAGGCTGTCAGCTGGTTTCTCAACAGAAACACTTCTGGCCAAAAGGAAAATGGCATGAAATATTCATAGCCATGAAAAACAAGGATCTAAAACTAAGACTACTCTATCCACAAAGGTTATCGCTTAAAATTGAAGGCAAAATAAAGAGTTTCACAGCTGAAAAAAGGCTAATAGAGTTCATTACCACCAAACCAGTATTGCAAGAGATGTTAAAGGGCCTGCTTTAAAAGAATAAATATATAGAGAGATGAACATAAGTATAAAGAATAAAATGGCAATAAATAAGTACCTATCAACAATAACCTTAAATGTAAACAGATTAAATGTTCCAATAAAAAGACTGAGGGTAGTAGAAATGGATAAGAAAACATTATATATATATATAGTGTGTCCCACAAAAAAGCTGATATCTCACTTAGTTTTTACTCTATTTCAGGTTTAATTGATCTGAAATAATGGGCTAAGACAGAATAAGCTTTGAACAAAGAAAATGCATCAACTAAACTTATTTATGGGGATACATAAAAGATAAATTTTATGGTGCAAAACCAGCAGCAGTTGATGAATGGAGGGCTAACAAATACCAAACAAAATAATTCTTGATGTTTGCAATTCCATTGCTTACCTTTACCTGCAGTGCCTAGGGTATACTGTATAAAAGATCTACCTCAGAACAAAAATACGTACTAGTACAGACTGAAAGTGAAAGGAATATCTTGAATTTTAAAATTTCTGAGTTCTTATAACATTTAAATTTTTCCTCATGTACAGTGATAAGATGATTGAAAGAAGAGTTGAAAATGGGTCACCTCTGAATTTTCCTTTGGATGTTAAAAGTATTTTTCTGTCTCCCAGCAATAACCAGAAGCCAGCTTCTCATTTCTTTTTCTCTGTCATTCTCAGGTAAGCCGCTGAATATCCCTTGCAAAGCATTCTTTGGATTTAGTGGAGAGTCTGGACCAATGATCTACTGGATGAAAGGGGAGAAGTTTATTGAAGAACTGGCAGGTCACATTAGAGAAGGTGAAATAAGGTATAGAACTTGAATTGCTATTTTTTTCTTTGCTGTCTTTGCAGTAGAGAAATGGAACATCCTAAAAGAGTTTCTGCCAGGGATTTTAATTGAAATTCCAAATAATTTCATTTCCTAAGGCTGATCTGATGGAGAGAGTGAGGTTGGCTGCCTTAAGAAATGAAAATGTGTCACCCTCCAATATATGTAGATTTTCTCAGGTTCTAAGAATATGACAGGGGATGTAATGACCCCCTCAAAGCTGCCTAAGCAAATTCATCTGAGCTTCCAAAGCTTAGGTTACTGTTATAACTTCTAGTCATACCAAAGATACAAACTTTGTAGGTGACTCCTCAGATCACTAAGCAAATGTTATCAAACAACTTTCATATGTTGTAGGTGTAAAGCTACAGTGGCAGTAGTAATCTAGTACCCAGCAAAATAACTGTGGACTCTTGTTAAATAGTATTTATTTTTTCCAGTACCAACTGCTCATATAGAAAGTGACTGGTCTTTCAGATTTGTGTCTCCCTGGACTTTTTTTCACTCTCCTGTTACAGAGATATGTCCCTGGTATAAACACATCTATTTTATTGGTTTGCTAATCCTATATAGTATGATTCTTTTGTACAAATAAGGGATAAGTAATTTTCACTACCTCAGTCTGTGGGGTGGCCCTTTGATTTCAGAGATGGTGACATATAATGATCATTTCTCATTCCAATAACAATTGAGACCCTTCCCCTTCCACTCCCATTGAGTCATGTAGTGGGAACCAATCTAATACTTCAGTACAACTAATGTCCAACAGATTTTATCAAATATATGGCAATGTAAAAGGAACAAGTATACTTTATCTTATTTACTATTGTTAAATATAATTTATAATAACTACCATGATAGTTTCTATTCATATTTTTACCCAATAATTCCACTCTAAGGATTCATAACATTGAGAGCCTATGTAAAATACTGACTGTGTTAGCATGTTTCTAGGAAGAAGGTCCATAAAAAGGTGCCTAATAAAATTAGTCATCAGGGAAATGCAAATCAAACCCTTTGATAACACTTCATACTCACCAGGATTATAACAAGTGTTAGAAAGACTTTGGAGAAATTGATACCCTCATATACTACTGGTAGGAGAGCAAACTGGTGCAGCCACTCTGGATAACAACCTGGCCCTGGCCAGTGTAGCTCAATTGGTTGAAGTGTCATCCCATGCACAAAAAGGTGGCAGGTTCAATTCCTGGTTAGTGCGCATACCCAGGTTGTGAGTTTGATCCCTGGTTGCAATCTGGCAGTTCCTCAAATGATTAAACATAGAGTTATTAAGAATTTCCCTCCTAGATATGTTAATCAAATAAATCAAAACATACATTCCCACAAAAACTTATACACAAATGTTCATATGATCATTATTCATAATAGATAAAATGTGGAAGTAACCAAAATATTCATCAACTGATGAATGAATAAATAAAATGTGGTGTATTTATACAATAGAATATTATTGAACTGTAAAAGAATGAATGAAGTACTAATACAAACTATGACATGGATGAACCTTGAAAACATTGTCATTGAAAAGAGCCAGTAACAAAAGATCACATATTATATGAAATGTCCAAAACAGGCAAATATATATATATATATATTAGAGGACTGGTGAATGAAATTTGTGCACAGTTAGGGCCCCTAGGCCTGGCCAGCAACCAGGGCCAATCAGGTTCCTTGCCTCCCCACCTTCACACCTCCTCCTTCCCTTGCTCCCTCAGCACCCCACCACCACCACTGGTAGCCCGCAATGTTCCACATTGCCCCCTGGTGGTCAGTGCATGTCATAACTAGCAATTGAACTCCCAGTCTCCCTGTCAAACTTCCAACGGGGCACATTGCATAGTAGCCTTTTATATATATAGACTAGAGGCCTGATGCACAAAATTCATGCAAGAGTAGGCCTTCCTTCCCCTGGCTGCTGGCACCAGCTTCACTCTGGCCACTAGCAGTCTGCATGCCTGCCTGCCTGGTTGCCCCAATCACCTCTGCCTCGGCCACTGCTGCTGTGGCTTCATCCAGAAGGATGTCTGGAATGACGTCCAGAAGGTCCTTTGGCTGTCCAGTCTAATTAGCATGTTATGCTTTTATTATTATAGTTAGAAATTATATCAATGGTTTCTTGGTGCTAATGGAATGGAGGGATAAGGGTAGAAACTTAAAGTGTATATTTTTATTTTTGGTATAGTGGACACAATATAGCATAACGAGCACTGTTTAAAAGTCTACAGTTCAGTGACATTTAATATATTCACAATGTTGTGAAACCACCACTACTATTTCCAGATAATTTTCATCACCCCAAAAGGAAGCCCTGTACCCAGTACATAGTCTGGGGCTTATTTTTGCAGTAGTGAAAATGTTACAAAATTGACTATGGTGATGGTTGCACATGTCTGTGAATATTCTACAAAGCAGAGATTTATACATTTTAAATGGGTGAATTGAATGATATGTAAATTGTATTTCAATAAAGCTATGTGAAAAATCTAATTTATTGCCTGGCATGAAAGAGATGTTCAGATAAAAAGAATCAATATAACACTTACAATTAGTTATTAATTATTAATTTCCATTTAAACTTTGTTTCCTAATTAGTGACACTTTATTAGTCAATTCAATTTCATATTAAGGTTTATGAAGTTAATGCAACTGGAATTAATTTATTTTTTATTAAATTTATTGGGGTGCCATTGGTTAATAGGATAATATAGGTTTTAAGTGTACATTTCTATGATATACAATCTGTATATTGCACTGTGTGCTCACCACTAAAAGTCAAATCATCTACTATCATCATATATTTGGCCCCCTTTACCCTTTGCTACCTCCAATCCCCTTCCTTCTAGTAAACACCATACTTTTGTCTGTGTCTATGAATTTCAGTTTTATATCCCACATATGAATGAAATCATATGGTTTTTAGCTTTTAATGACTGACTTATTTTGCTTAGAATAATATTTTCAAGTCTACCTATGTTGTCACAAATATCATGATTTCATCTTATGGCTGAGTAGTATTCCATAGCATATATGTACCATATCTTCTTTATCCAATTCTCTATCAAAGGCTATTTTGATTGTCTCCATTTTTAGTAGATACATGATTAGAATTATTATCAATGTATCTGCCTGTAAACAAATTTAAGAGCCATCTTCACTTTTCAGAGAATTAAACTGATACCCAAAGGACAAGTGGTAGGTACAATGGTACCTAGTAGCAAAATTTCCACTACCAAAAAGCTCAGAGCTATGTTTCCTGATCAAAGGTAGTAGTTATATGAGCCTAAGAAATTATCTCCTTTTTCCTGTACCTGACTGATTAACTTTGTTAAAATAAACAACTTTGGGGGGGTATAATGATATACATTAAATAGCACACAATTTAAAGTGTACAGTCTGTAATTGCTAATTGATATCTGTATACACCTGTGAAACTATCACAATATTCAAGATAATGAACATATCAGTCACACAAGTTTCCTGATGCCTTTTTGTAATCCTTCCCTCCTGCCCTTCTTCCACAATAATACTGATTTTTCTGTCACTATAAATCAATTTGCACTTTCTAGAGATTTATATAAATGAAATTATACAGGTTATATGCTTTTTTTGTTTGCACTATTTAACTTAACAGAATTATTTTAAGATTCATCTATCCTTGTAGTATATGTATCAATAGTCATTCTTTTTTGTTGCTGAGTAGTCTTTCAATATATGGATATAGACAGCTCGATTATCCATTGACTTGTTAATGGATCTTTGGGTTGTTTCCAGTTTGGGGGCTATTATACTTGTGAGAAGAAGGTTTCCTTTGATGTGAATAACAAGAAATAATTTATCTGCTGAAATGGAGACCCCATGGTCAACTAGGGACTTCAATGTTATCCTATATAATAAAAGGTTAATATGCAAATTGACCCTAACAGCAGAACGACTGGGAATGACTGGTCACTATGACACCCACGGACCACCAGGGGGCAGATGCTCAATGCAGGAGCTGTCCCCTGGTGGTCAGTGCACTCCCACATGGGGAGCTCTGCTCAGCCACAAGCCAGGCTGATGGTTGCCAGCACAGCGGTGGTGGCAGGAGCCTCTCCCGCCTCCTCAGCAGCACTAAGGATGTTTGACTGCAGCTTAGGTCTGCTCCCTGCTGGTAAGTGGACATCCCCCGATGGCTGCCAGGCTGCAAGGGGGATGTCTGACTTCCAGCTTGGGCCCGATCCCCGCAAGGAGTGGGCCTAAGCCAGCAGGTGGACATCCTCTGAGGGGTCCCAGACTGCAAGAGGGCATAGGCTTGGCTGAGGGACCCCCCACCCCCAAGTGCACAAATTTTTGTGTACCAGGCCTCTAGTAAGTAATACGAGCCTAGAGGCTATTTGCTGACAAGGGTTTCTCACTTGTTCTATATGCTGGGAAAAACCTCAGATTGAACTCTCAGTTTTCCACACTATGCCTTGCTCACTTAAGCTGACTGAGTCAACTTTTATTAAGGACTGCGACCTGCCCTGTCCAATTAAAACTTCACCATGTAGATACCTCATTTACATTAAAAAGACCTAATTGAGAATCTGGGTGGGAACAAAAGACAGCCTCCCCTTTGTCTAGGTGGAACACAATTTAAGTTGCTATCTGACTCAGTGTCTCCCTAACTATAGCCCTTTTTGCTCAAATAAGTGCTTACTAGTATTATTCTTTACTAAATTATAAAATTAATTTGGGTTTACATATAAGCTGCTATGAACATTCATGTATACTTCTTTGTATGTACATGTATTTCCTTTTTTCTTGGGTAAATAACTTGACATGGAGATACTGGATTATATAGCAGGTATAAATTTAACTTTTTAGCTCCCTTTTTAGCTCATTTTAAATAAAAACTTTATTTTTTAGAGTAATTTATGATTTACTTAAAAATTGTGAAGACAGTGCCTTAGTTTGCTCAAGTATATAAAAAATTCCAT